TTTGAGCTGTTCTCCTGCACCGTGCTCAGTTAATGGGTTTGGGTGTCGTCGCGACGCCGGCGCCCTGCTCGGAGCTGCTGAGGCTCCGTGCGGGACGTCGCGCGGGAGGAATTATTCCAGCACTCGAAAACGGGGTGTGTGGCTACAATGCTAGAAATGTCAGTGCTGCTTTTTTGTTAGTTGCTGGTCTCTGGGCTTTTTTGCTGCATATGTCCCCATCTTTTCTAGGGGACTAAATTTCATGTACAGATTTGCTGTAAGCTGTGATTCGGGCAGCAGGTCACCGTAAAATTAGGAATACCTGGGTACATATTTGTGTGTTTTTGTGCTATGAGCTGCTTGTGGGCGCCTGTGCTTTCAGTGGCCTTCGCCCAAAAAGAGATGGTTTCACCTTGTGCAGCAACACGATTTGGGCTTTGTCCTTCTGTGTCCCCTGCCGCTCCCTGAACCCAGGTAGTTCCCTGCTGTTCAAAGGGTCCCTGCTATTAAAGCCTGGGAAAGTAGATTTCTGCCATTTTGTTTTCCCTATGTCTTTTAGGGATTGCTTCACTGAGGACAAATACGATTAAATTAGATAATATATTTGCTTTTTTGTCATGGATGGAAATTCTGAAGCTCCCATCTTGTGTAATAGGGAAACCTCAGTATATCATTTTTGAGAGTCTGTTCCTACCTCCCTTTATTCCGTGTTTTCCTGGTCTTCCCATATATACATATATATATACACACACACATACATACAGTTACTTAGTTTCTTTGTAATTTTAGGCCTAAAATTAAGATTTTCAAGCTGTTGACTGCTGATGTACTGCACGTCAGGTCTTGAATTTTTTTTGTGCCAGTTCCCTCATTGCGAAGCGGAGCTATCTGTAAGGAAAAGGATCCCCTAAGGAAAAGGATCCCCTAAGGAAAAGGATCCCATCCTTCCTCCACAGGGCTCAGTGCTTTCCAAGCCTCCTGGTCATCCGACATTGCAGGCGAGTCGGACCTTGCTCCTTTTGGGCTGTTTTTGACAAAATTGCAGCATTTAACGTGGCTCCCACCGCGTTCTTGCCTGCCTCGTGCACTTCAGTTGCATTCCTTATGTTTTTTTCTCTTCAACGTTTGTATTTATAGTTCTTCAGTGTTGGCAGGTGTGTATTTCACATTAACATGAGGGGTTTTTTTGGATGTTAAACTGCTATTTGCTTATGGTAATTTCCAGTCATCGGAGGGTGACTGTTGAGAGAGATGAGCAGAGAGGGAAAAAATTGTCAAGCATTTACAGTAAATAGTCTCTGCTTTTGGAAACACTGTCAGAAGTTTAATTGTTAGGTTCAAGTAAGTTTGTCATGTGCTAGACAGAATCAGTCTGCTGTAATGAACCGGTTATGCACTTCCAGCAGCAAAAAGGGAGAGTGAGAAAGCAAGGGATGCTGAGGATTTCCCGTCACCTTGCGCTGCAGAAGGAACGGGGGGAGGCTTTTTAACCTAGCCTGTAATTAGGTTTTGCATGGAAGCATATATTACCATGCCTGCCTTGCCAAAGCTCTTCAGTATGATGGATGAGATTTAAAGGTTGATCTGACTAAATTGCAATGAGAATACTAACGACAAAGATATTTCTGTTGTGAAATATTCCTACCAGGCATCATAGCTGTGACATAAATGCTGTAAGATAATGGACAATAAAAGTCACTCGGAAATAATACTCTCCTAGGACTGGGCTGCCTTCCTCACAGCACGTACCCTGAACTAGAGCAATAATGTAATCATAAGCCAAGATCATCATTTAAATATATAGGTAATCTGGCATAGCATCCTGACGGGTTTATGTTATGGGGAGGTTAGCGGGCAGCGCGGAGGGACGCGGCGCCAGCGGGTACCGGTGTGCCCGGGGTGGGAATGCGGAGGGCCCGAGCAGGAACGTGAGCGTTTTGGAGCCGCGCGTTTATGGAGATGGGGACTGGAAAAGAAGCACGTAGAGGAGCCGGCATCTCGGGCGGTTTTGAGCGCTGTTTGCACTGTTATATCGCGTTATAATTGAGGGCGTAGGCGGAGGTCACAGGTACAAAAAGCCATTTAATGTTCCCAGGGTTTAATGTTCCCTGGAAGGGCGCAGCTGCCCCCGCTTTGCAGCCAGCGGTGCTGAGGCTCCCCGGCTGTCGGAGCGGGAAGCGGAGCACTGCTAGGAATATCCTGGAGCTCCTTCCTCTGGGTAGGCAAGTCTGCCTGGCGTTAGAGGGAATACATCGCTCGTCTCATCTGGTGTTCGAGTGGCTGTATTCCCTACTAATACATTTATTCTGAATTTTTGATACCTGACCTGGGTGCAAGCTGTGGAGATAGGAACCTGGAGAAAACAGGAAGTTTTTGGCATCCTAAGTATTTTCAGTGCCCTGTCTCCCAAACTTCGGACTCTGGGGGAAGTGAAGCAGCGCTGCGTGGTGGTTTCCTCCGGGGCTGGCGCCCGGCCCCGTGCACAAAAGCAGCTTTGTGCCCGTTTTCCCGGGATGCTCCCCCGGCGCTGGGGTGTCCGCTCGGCCCAGGACCGCGCGGCCGCGCGAGGCCCCGGCGCGCTGGACACGGCCCCGCGGGAGATGCGCGAGCGGAGCCTTCCCCGCCGGGCCTAAGGGCCGCCTCGTTCCTGGAATGCCTTTCCCAGATGGGATCCCGCTCGTCCATCCGCTTTCTGGAAAGATGTGTGTTGCTTCTGCAATGTAAGAAATGTTTTAATTTACTGCCATGGGCCGGGCCCGCTCTGACGCTGTCTGACAGTGCGGAGCTTCCCAGGAAATTTGGAAGCGGCAATAAGAAGCCTGTCACTTGAGGAATGAGAGCGCAGAGCCGGAGCAGGGAAAACGTGCCAATGTGCAGGGAGCTCCTTCCAAGGCCTCTTGTCTCGTTTCCCACTGTCATGTTTGGCCGTTTATACCGATGAAAAGCTCTGCACGTCCGGAGCCGCGTTGTGTCCTCCGCCCCCAGAAACCAGCAACGAGGAGGCAAGCCCAGGCCGGAGCCCGCTGTGTCCAGGCTGCCTCTTCCTCTTGCCCATTTGATTTATTTATCTTTTTTTTTTTATGCTGTATTTTGTCAAGGGTGTTGCTACTGTGGTACATAAAGAGTGAATTTGTGCATCTTAGTCCAACCGTTTGCAGTTACATCCCAAAACACCCAGTGCAGTCGGCTGGTTTTGGCCCTCCTGTCGAAGGTTTGTCTCGAGCGGAGGCGAGCGCTGCGGGTTTTCCGCAGTCATCCCCGGCAGCCCGTTCCCTGCTCGGTGTTTTCATTTGGGGATTGCAATGAGAATATTGCTGGGCCGTTTTACAGAGCGCAGCAGCCGCTGCGGTGCCCAGGCTGACCCTCCCAGAATAGCCGCCCGGCCGGGACGCGCCGTTCCCGCTGGATCCCTTTCCAGAGCCGCTATCTTGTTCCTGCCCCTTCCTTGGCTTCCAGCTGCAGCGCTCCCGAGCGGCGCCGAGCCGACCCTTTTCCCGGTGGGAGGCAGCGGGCCTGGTGCCGGATTGGTGTTGGGCATTGCCCCTTGCGCTGCGTGGACACGTGCGGTGCCTCCAGGCTGTAAATGGGAATTGCTGAATTCCCTTGGGTAAGAGGCACAGCGTGAGGTTGTCAGGAAGGTGCAGGCCACACCGGAGGCCTTCCCCGTGCCAGTGGAAAAGCAGGAATTCTGCATTATGTCCTCCCTTTTAGTACGCCACCTTTCTTAAAATCATGAATAATGAAATAATTAAGCTGGCCGTGACAGTGCATGCAATTTTGTGATAGCTGGTTGTAAAAGATCTGCTAGGGGCCTGTGTAGGTGACAATTGCTAGCCTGGCAAGGACCAAATCGCTGCAGAAATTCTTCTGCGTTGTGTCTTCCTCCCCTGCTCCCCCCGTGGATATTTCAGATACTTCTGTATTTTAAGCTGGGCGCTGGTCGTTGCCCCCGTGCCAGGCGCGCACTATTAATACCCGCCGAGGTCAGGTCGTGCTCTTTGACTGCGCGGATCCTCGCCAGCTCCCGGAGGAGGTTTCTGCGAGCGCTGACGGAGCGGCACCGGCCTCGGCATGGGCAAAATTCTTATAGCAAAGAATTTACCAAACCTAAAACTTCTTAGCCTTCACGGCTCTCAGTTGAATGTGTAGCAGAATAGATGAATAACTACTATTCCAAATACAGTAAGAGCATAAGAGTCCCTTCAAAGTCATAATGGAAGTTTTGGTGATTTCCATGCCTGAATCACTTCTTACTCTTCCTGGGAGAAGTCCTGGAAGGTTGGATGCAGCTTAATGTGGAGAGGGAGGTGTCAGGGAAGCTTAGGAGGTGCTGGAAAAGCCGGGATTTAGCAGATGTGATGTGGAGAAATGCACATCTTGCACCACATCCGATTGCGTTTGCCTCGGAGCAGATGGATTGAAATAATGCAAAGCCGATACACGCACTCAGAGGAGGGCTAGGTAGCACCATGCAATTTATGGGGAGGTTTTGAATATTGAGAGCAGCAGCTTCAGCTTTCTTGTGGCTCCTTTGTCTCTCTTCGCAGGAGGACGACGTGCTGACCTTTACTGAATTGCTCCATGGCTGACTGTGCTGGGCGTTCAGCTTCTGCGCCTTGTAGCAGCACCAAGTGCTGTTGCAAAATTCATATTTGAGTTGACAAAAGCAGTGTCTTTAGTAGGTAACCACTGACCAAAGTATACTCTAAAAGGGCCCTTTCCTGCTGTTTTGCTTATTATAAAAGTATTTTGAGAAGCAGGAGTGTGTTTTGGTATCATCGTTGGTGTTCTCAAGAGTTGGGCTGTGCTTGGCCTGTTGCCGCTTTCTTGTTGCTCGCGCTCAGCAGTCCCTGTGTCTGTGGGTGACGAGCTTCAGTGGGGCTCGTGGTAGACAAAATTGTCAAAACTGAGGCAATCGGAGGGCAAAAAGGGGGACTGGGTTCCTGCCGTCCATGTGCAGGCCCAGCCCTGGCGAGGGCCGCGCTGACGGGACTCTCTGCTTCCTCCCCTTGCAGCGCAGCCGCGAGGCCCAGTCTGGTATGTTACCATGGAGGGGCAACACAACCACCCGCATCATCTAGGGGACCAGAACAACCCGCTGTGCAAGCTGCCAGGCCAGGACTATCAGCATGATCCCCAGGTAAGTCCCTATTCTCACTTGCGTTGTCTTCTTGCATTGTGATGAGAAATGCTGAGGAGAGAGCTTCCAAATGCAGGGAAAAGTGCATCCTGCGTGAAGTGTGAGGATCTCCGGCCGAGCCCGGGAGGCTCCGCGATCCTTCTCCTGCAGTGCTTTGTCTCCCCGCTGTGATGCGTTGTTACAGTGGTTCCTTCTGGTCCCTGCCTCTATTCTGCATCATTGGGGTGGAAATCAAGGTAAACTGGTGTTCACAGTAGCTGCAGTACTGTCGCTCTAAACACCAGATTGGTGTTTGAACTCTGCCTGCTTTTCATAGGACGTCTGACTGTTTATCAGGAAGCCCTTCCATACTGCGAGGAGTAAACAAGAGCCATCGTGGAAAAGCCACCACAGAGAGGATCTCTAGGACTTGGGCTCCCTGTCCCTTCGGGGACGGGAGCGGAGGTGTTAATCTGTCATCCTGAGCATGTTGTCCAGTGGTGCTCAGGATTCCTTAAACAGGAAAAGGCCATTACAAAACCTGTATCATAACACAGCCTAAGGTTTGCAAAAACAGTAAATTGCCTGCACATATGGCACGATGGATGCATTTTGTGCAGCACTGCTTTGCAAATACGTTGTATGGAGCAAAGCCCCCCTCTCCTAATGTAGCAATTTGTCATATTAAGTCATTTAATAATAATTGAATCCCCTTGATTAATCTCTTAGAATTAGCCAGTTGCATTTTGAGCAATTAGGGTTAATTACTGCCTCATTTGGCAGGATAGAGCCCCTGTAATTATTTCATGAACAAGATTAGGAAGTGTTCCTGTGTAGCAGATACGTTCATGGCATCTCGGAGCACATGTTAGAATTTGTAATGACATAGTTAAGTGTAATTAGTAGCTAATAATCTGTGTTGTGCTGTTCTGCTGATGCTGAGTGGGCTCATTTTGCTGGATGGTCGTTGCTTAGGGAGGACGCCCCTCAGACTTCCTCATACTCGAGTTGCCTTCATAGGGGTCTCTGAGTATATTAACTACTCTGAGAGCGATCCAGGTTGGAAATAGCACAGCAGCAAAGATTTTCCTTTGCTTCTGCTGTCTTAAAACATGATGCTGAGTAGCTATGCATAGGGAGTATTTAGGAAAACATATAGGGGGATTGAAAATGCACCTCTTCAGCAAACTTGGGATAGAAATTACTGAAGATTGAAATGTTTAGTGGTCAGATGATAAAAGGCTGATGATTTGGCATGATTTCTTGTTACATATTTCTGATTTTGCATTTACATAAACATAAGTATATACCATCTTCAAATTTCTGGTACCAATTGCCTGGTAGAATCCAAAATTACCTTATTAATAACATGAACTTCAAACGACATTGCCTGCGTGTCAGAAGTCTTTGGTTCTTTGCAGACTTGCCCCAGCAGCCCCGCAGTGCTGCTCACCCATCCCCACAGCTCCAGCCACTCGCACTATTAGTACTTTGGTTAACTTCTCCTTACAGCTTGCAATAGAGCTTTGTATTTAGAAGTTTTCTAATTGGAATAAGTGAATATCTAAACATAAGAGGCTTAATGAGACACCATTTTAGCTTCTGGCTACGTTACCTGCCTGACATTACTCTGAAGTTTGTTGAAAAGAAGTGTTTTTTAGTAATGTTCTTACACGCAAGTGTCAGTCACTTACATCTCCAGATTACTTGGAGTTTAGTAATAAAAGGTAAAAATACCTTAGTTTAGCAATAAGAGGTAAAATTCATCGAGGAGTAAATCAATGCTATAAAAAATATGGACCTATAGTTTTTGACTAAGCATTTTTATTACATGGACATAGTAACTGGCTTTTGAGCAGTCCTTTTATATTCTTATTAAACATTTAAGCAATAGAACGGTTCATAAGAGTTTCATTTTGGCCTGCTAACACAAGGCAGATCATCCAGGTCACCTGGCAGTAAAGGCTGTCATCAGTTTATCATGTCTAAAGTGCTGAGCTTATTTCTCTGTTAATATGAATTTCTTTGCTGACGTGAATATCAGCTTGGTCTGCTGTTTTCAAGCTGATGTTTCTCTTCTCTGCTGTCATTAGCTGGTGCAAATATGTGCTGATAAAGAGGACTTTGAATTTCAGACTTTAACTTCTAAATAGCAGTTCAGGTTCAGCTTGGTTTATGGTGATTATACAGTCCAGTTTAGAACCTGCAAAGTGAAGAACCTCAAGTATTCTTGGGCAGTTACTGAACTACCTGTTTGCGTAATAATCCATATTTTAAAGCTCAGCACTTTCCCAGTCTGTTGGTGAGCTTGGAAAAAAAAATCAATCTGTTGTAATTTGAGCTTCTAAATCCACACTGGAATTTCAGTCTTAAAATACACAGAATGATTTTCGGGTAGGTGTTTGAGATGAGTGTACGATTTGGAACCTCATAAAGAGATTCGAAACGTTGCTGTTGGAAGTAAATCATTGCTTGTGATGTGTATGTGCCCAACGGTGGCGGCTAACGCTTCCCCATCTACTATCACAGATGTCTTTTAAAGGTGAAGTTAGTTTACGGTAAATGTCATTCAGATGAAGTGTGCACTTTAGAAGCAAGGAAGCCATGGCTTTAAAATTAATGATGCATTGCAAATATCAGAAAAAAATCTTACATGCAGCATAAAGATAATTAAAATTCAGGTCAGAAGTGTATGACTTAGTCGGGGTAAATTTTTTAATGAGATTTCAGAAAATTAATTGGGCGAGTATGTTTTCACTCTTCTGAGGAGTATTTCATTTCTTGGCTTTTCAGGGTGCTTTATTGGCATCTAAAGATTGTGAGGTCTGACTCTAACCATTGGTTAGCCGATTTTAGTAACTTTTAGGTTGATCCCAAACAATCCGAACATTCTGTGACCCTGGAGTCTCTTTGTACAGACTCAGCACTAGCATCGCCTTTCCTCGTGCCAGTCGGGCAGGAATAAAGCAGGGGAATGTCACGGTAGTTACCGCTAGCGCTCCCTGTTTGTGCGCGGTGTCATTAGCGGGGGAGCTTTCCCCATTCCCGGCTCCCGGGCTCGGTTTCCCGCGTGCCCCGTGGGGCAGCGGCCGTCGCGGCTGGTGGCCCCTGGGCCTCCTCCGGCAGGAAGCTCCCGGCGCCGCTCCGCGTTTCCCGGAAAAGAATGAGGAGCCAAAGCGTCCAGCGTCGCCCGCTCTGGAGAGGGGAGCGCTTTGCACGGAGCACTCGCTTCGTGCTCTTCCGTATCCCCAAGTACCTGTAAACGCTGAGCTGATTTGCTCTGCAACTGTTCATTTTAAAAACCTAAAATTCTGTTCAAGTTACCTGGCTGCCAACCCATGTATAGCTGCATCTCTAAGCCTGGAAAGCAGCTTAGGGTGCTCTTTGGTGCCACTGTAACAGACATGCCTAAAAATCCAGAGAAACTGCAGCAGAAACTTACTTTTCCTGAGGAATAAGTATATGACCAAATATATGTAATTTCCGTACCTTTCCCTTCCGCATTTGCCTTGACTGCTTTCTAATCTGGTGTGTAGGGACCCCTGATGTCAGTAATTAAACTTCTTATCTTTGCAGCAGGTATGTTTAGTCATTTTATCTTTGTGCTTCTAAAGAGTTTATTTTGTAGGGTGTTTTTTCAGAAAACCTTACAAACTGTATTTGGCAGAAAGTCTCATAAAACACCAAAATTGGAGGCTGCAAGTTCTGGCCAGCTTATACTTTAAAAAGTATTTGGACGCTGTCATTGCATACTTTTGCCAGCGTTGAAATTCTTGCTCTTGCATCATTGATTACATTTAAAAGGGAACATGTATGCCAGAATAACTTGTTCTGGGAATAATCTCTGCGTTTCTCCTTAAAAATGAATAGCCTCTTTATTTGAATGAGGAATTAGTTGACTTTAATCTTTGGGCTTTTTTTTTTTCCCTCTTTTATGGAGCAGTAGAAGAATGAGGCCTCATTGTGTGGATAAAGAGAACAGCCTTTGTCTCAGAACTAGTTCTTCCCAGACTATCTGCTTCCTACAGCTGCCCTGGGAATAGAAGTGTTCAAATAGCTGGATTTTCATAGCGTCTTTAAAAGTACCAAAAGTTGCTTTATTTCCTTTAGCTCCATCGCTGTGCTTGGAATTTGCTCTGCAGGGACAGGTGCTTGGCTCTTCTTTATTCCCCCAGGCTTTAGCTTTTCGAGCCCGAATCCGTCTCGAAAGCAGGAAGGCCTCGTTCAGGGGGATAGCTCTGGAGATGATGGCAGTGTTTAATTGTGCGCCCAGTTTATACCTTCATAGGAAACGCTGAGAATTGCGGAATTAAAGATAATATATATTTTTTGAATGGGTAGGCACTGTGTTTTTCTGCCAGCTTTGTGCAAAACACTAGCACTTAAATGGAAAAGGTTTGGGGGCTGAAAGAAGAAAGGGGGGTGGATTTCCCCTTGTCGGGAGCTGCAGAATGAGTGAGCGCTGGAGCAGGCCGGACCACGGGAGCAGTTCTCCGCGGAGCCGCGTGTTGATGGCGTTGTGCTCTTCAGAGCAGCGTCTGGAGGAGCTGCCTGCCTGCGTCTAACGTAAAGAGACATAGCAGCAGGTTTGTCTTAAATAGAGATGTGGGATCGTGGGCGGCCCTGATCCATAGGGAGCTTTCTTGTAGGGCTTGGTGTAGCCCGAGCATGCGCCCTGCTTTATGCTGTAATCAAACATCTAGCCTCTGTGAAAGCTCCATTACTTTAATTAGGTCTGATAGGTTGTGATAGCAAATGCAAATCTAGGTCATTGCATATGTAAATGTGCAGCTGTAGTCCTGGAGGATGCCAGAACATATCAGCTGAGGTGTCCAGTCATCACCTAGCATTAACTGCAGCTTGGCAAGCAGACTTCATCTGCTCACCATGTGAAAGTGCCTGGGACGCACACACATCCTGTCACTTTACTAATATTTATTTATATTTTAGGAAGTTGCTAGGTATTTCTTGTCACATGCTTAAAATATTAAGTTATGCTTAAATACTCATGGTTTAAATGCACTCAAATTTTAACGATTTAAGAAAGCAAAAGAATACCATCCTTGGTTTCTTTCTTATACTTGGGTAGGTGTCGTATATATGATTGGACAAATATCTGTGATGACTTAAAGGTTACTGGAGAATAATTTTTGATCACAATTTCTGTTCTGTACAAAATTCCCAAGGTTGTGGAGCAAATCCTCCTAGGAGCCATTTGGAAACACATGCAAAGAAGGTCACTGGGAGCATCAACGTGGACCTACCAAGGGCAAAACACAGCAGGCGAATCATGCCTGGCAAACCTCTGCTTTCTAGGGGGGCAGGGATGTTGTATATCTTGATTTTTAGCAAGTCTTTGACATGATCCCCCATAATTTCCTTATCATGGAATGTGGACCAGATAGATGTACAGTCTGGTGGCTTGAAAATCAGCTGGGCTGTGGGGTTCGAACGGCTCCTTTGCTTGATAGCACAAATCCTTTCTGCAGCCCCTGTGCTGTCCAACCAAGCGAGGTTGTGAGGTGAGGCAGACATTAATTCTTGCTTCAAAGTGTAGGACAGCCTAAAGTATGTCTTAAAAGGGAAGTGCTGCGAACAATTTAAAGGAAATGCTTGATGAAATCAGCTTCCCATTTCCCTGTGACTAATCCTCATGAGTAACTGCAAATTGTGATACAGACTTATTGTTTGTGTAGATTATTGTGCATGAATTAAAATATCATGTTCTTCTAGCCTGGAGAAACAAAACCATTCCTTTTTTTATGTAAAGACTTACGATGATAGATGGAGAAATTTACCCATGGCTTTGACACTTCAAAAATAATTACTCGGAGTGTCACCTCGTGTGAAAAGGAGTGTTTTTGCTCTTTTAGGCAACTTGAACTGAGAAAGCTGATGATCGTGAGGCCCTCGAGTGAAATGTCCAATTAGGTGCCTACTTGAATTAGCAGGCGTTGCCTGGACGTCTGAGCTGCTGCTCGTTTCTTGCATGAACCCATAGCAGAGTTGCCGTCTGTGGTGCTTTTCCCTGTGTTTGTTGTGATGAAGGTTCTTTAAAGATAACCGTTTTCAAAATGATTTGGTTGATTGATGCCGTTTGTCTCCTAAATAGTAATTTTCGATCCACTTTATTGCTGAGTCTTCTTAAACATCGAATTTTACAACTTTGTTTACAAAACCTCTGCCAAATAACTGTGATTGTAGTGCAGGATTGTGCAGGCGACTTTAAAACTGGAAGTTTTCTCAAATGCCAGATTGATACCTTTTTAGTGCCTGTCGGATTTCCCTTCTTTATGACAGAAATAAAAACCGCTGCTCTTCAAACTTAGCAACTTTTCAGTAAATCATGACAGATCCTTCCGTTTTCCTGCGTGCCGTGCTAGGGAGAGGTGCGGGGTGGGAGCTTCCCCGGCAGCTCCGGTGCCTCCACGGCCCGCGGAGCACCCGGCGCTGGGGACAGCTGGATCCTGGGCAAACAAATCCGCCCGGATCGCGCTCCGGTCCCAGTGCTGCTTGCGTTTCTTGGGTGCATTTCCCGTCAAAAACGCAAAAAGCAGTTAGAGAACATCCAAGTACGCAGCGGTGTGTGACTTGTCCTTTCAGACAACTGAAGGGATGCTTCAGAATTGATGCAGTATAGTGCCTTTGCCTTTATGTGCATATTTATTGGTGATCGTGTGGGGAACTTTTGTGCCGTGGTGTCGCTGGGATGGTTGAAGCGGACAGGGAAAGCTGCAGGTGAGGAAGCGGGAGGCAGCCGGGCCCTTGTCCCTCCGTGAGCAGCCGCACGTTTCCTTGGCTTTCCAGCTGGGAAGTTCTGCTGCGACTGGGACGAATTTATCCTTAGGAATATCATTGGTCTCGGAAATGGCTAGTTTGCAGTCACAGGGAAGGATTGGGAACGCGAGCTCGTCCCTTGTTGCGTTGCTCCTTCTAGCTCGTTGATTGATGGTGTTTCCTTTGAACAAGCAGAGACACTTGACGTCGTACCCGTACCGCTGCACGCTGGCAGACTTCCAGATAGAGAAGAAGATCGGCCGGGGGCAGTTCAGCGAAGTTTACAGAGCAACGTGTCTGCTGGACAGAAAACCTGTGGCCTTAAAGAAAGTCCAGGTGAGTGTTGGAATTGTTCCTGTTCCGGAAGCAAAATGGGGACATCTTGGGATCTGCCCAAATTCCTCCTGAATCGGGTGCCTCTTAGGGTCCAGAGTTCTTTTGTGCAGTATTCGGAACAGCAGTTTATTGAGGAAAGCTGAATTTAATCCTTCAGCCCATCCTTTAAACTGCTCTTCCAACCAACTGACTCTGATTATTACAGAATGAATATAAATGCTCAAGACTCTTGCTAATTATTACAAAGAAGCCAGTAGAAGCTATATTTTTATGTTCTTAAAAAGAAAAATAAACATATTTTGCCTTTATTTACTATGAGAATAAGATTAAATAGTATTAAATAAATGAAGAAACTCTGTTGAAAGTTACAATAACAAATCCACAGACTAGCATCTCATTTTTCCTGCTACTTAGCATATTGCCTATAGGTTCCCAAGTTAATTTTTCCTCATTGCTAACCTAATAGTGGTTTCAAAATAAAGATAACATTGATTTTTCTTTGATCTGGGGATTGCCTGTGTACTCATTATCGTAGCGGATATATAAAGAGAGAGAAGAAAGACCAGTTTCTCATTAAAATGTGAAATTCTTAATTTGTTTTTTGCTTCATTTTAATCTTTGACATTTTTGTCTTTGAAGATTTTTGAAATGATGGATGCCAAGGCTAGACAGGATTGCATTAAAGAGATTGACCTCTTGAAGGTAAGAATTTGTGCCATAGCTATTCTATATTTTTTGTTTCAAAAAAATATATGTTTTCAAGTTGGCAACTGTCACCTGCCTTGTTCCACAAAGTAGTGGAAACTGATGTTTTGGGGCAGTGAAAATTAATAATTTTCCAAATGAGTTAGAGTCATTGCAGGTTGGACAGAAGCCGCACGCGGTCGTGCCTTGCGTTCCGTGTGCTTCTCTCTTCCCACGTTTTTGGGGCAGCACCGCCGCGCGTACGCAGCGCGCGTTAGGAGAGCAGGCAAATGCCATTAATACAAGATAAGGTGTCTCAAACGTTTTGTGCGTTAATTTTGTGAGAATTGATACAGTTAACTTAAAATAACAGACTGCAGTTGCTTGAAGCGTAATGTAACATCTGCATTTCTGTATTCTCTCTTGTGCTCATTTTGTGTTATATTACCCTTCTCTCGTGTTCTTAAAAGATGCAATAAATTTAGAAATTACAAAAGTGAGCATTTCATCTCCTGCGCAGCTGTGACCCCAATGTGTCCGTTCCAGGGGTTACAAAGCCAAAGGAAATGTTGCTGCGATCCATCATGCTAATCACCTCCCCGCGCGCAGGGAGAGCGGCTCTGCGGTGCCCGGGCACCCGCGCGTTAGCGCTAATGGGATCCATGGGCGGCATCGAGAGACAAACGCTCCCCAAAGCCACCGCTGCCCATAAATAAATAATAGAGCCCAGCGTTCCTGCGGAAATGGCTTCTAAGTGTCTGCTCCCAGGCACACTCATCAAAGATCAACTGCAGACAGAAAAGCCCAAATCGGACGCTGTTTTCTGCCTCTGTTACGGTGGACACTGTCCTGGGGCTCCCAAGGGCTCCGGGGAGTTTCAGCCATCAAACCTTTTCCTAATCCAGTCATGGCATAGGCCAGACTTCAGTTTTTTACTCCTTTTCTCGTCAAATTTCTGTAATGCATTTATATACCGACTCTCTAGTGATTTCTGTCCCTGTTCTATAGGCCTGTAGTATGGGAAAGTCTATTTGAAATAGCTTTCGTTAGTAGGAAATTGTATTACTTTTCACCCCAACTCTGTCTTTCTTAAAAGACATTTTGGTTGTTTCTGTGCTTATGATAGGTGAGATCACATTTGTTCTGGTTTTTGTGTGTGCGTGCGGGTCCGGAGCCCTCTTTATAGCTCTACCTGTTGCAAATCATTTTGCACAGTGACTGTAAAAGTGGGAGCAGGTACTGTATCCTGTGGTTGAAATTACAACATTTTACAAATATTCTCAACTTTCTCAACCTGCAGCAACTGAACCACCCCAATATTATTAAGTATTTGGATTCTTTTATCGAAGACAATGAGCTCAACATTGTCCTGGAACTGGCTGATGCTGGTGACCTCTCTCAGATGATTAAGGTAAGGACACATCAAGTAGTAACTACTACAAATAGGTGTAAATACTACAGACTTCCAGGAAATGTCCTGGAATATGGCCCTGCAAGAAAATGGATTTGTTCTGGGCACGTGGTCCCCTCTCCTCCTGGGTTTCGTGCAGGGACAGGGTGCTTGCAGGCTGAGCCTGCGGGTCTGGGGCTGTTTAAACCCCTCGGGTGCTGCTGGGGGAACATGGTTGGGGACACTTAATTATTACCAGGCATATATTCACATAGCCTGGCTGCCACGAAGGCATTTTAGAAAGTGTATTGACTTTCTTTGCAGCAGGGATTTGGGATTGAGAAAATGTTTCAAGTGCTTGCTCTTCTCTTATGTTGCTCTTAGGAATACTTGTATTGCTGGAAACCAGCTTTAGTTAAGCTGTTACCACCTGCTTTTGTATTTTCTTTGACATGTTAATCTTTAGACATATATCCCTTGTGAGAACAGATGTGTTATATCATGTTTGTTAGCACTCTCAACCTTCTCTCCGTGTTTTACCTGCTTTTTTTTCCTGACATCATTATCCTGCAATTATCATAAATGAACGTTTGGAAAGTTCTCCTCCTCCTCCTTGTTGCCACAGTTAAAATCCCTGTTTAACACACTTGTTTTCTGTGCCAGCAGAGCCACGCGGCACTAGCCGGGGCGGTCGGACTAGTTGCCCAGAGTCACAGCTTGGGCAGTGTCCATGGAAGGCAGTAGTAGCAGTCCCAGACAGGTCCTAGCAAACAGGCAGTTTATTGCAGGCTCTTCGTAGCTTCAGGTGAAGATGAGAAGATGAGGAGAAAAAGATGCTGGTGGGAGCAAGGATGAAGGCTCTGACCATGCCGGGAGCAAGTACTTTGCTTGATTTTTAAATTTTAGCTGATAAAAAGTCTTAAGTAAGTAATTGTTGGCTACCTTGTTATATAAGATATTTGCATATTTAGGTCATTTAGAATTTTAGTCAAAAACTTTCCTTAGTAGTAAATATGTTCATTTATCTTATCTGGGTTGGGATATAAATTTCTGAATTTTCTGGAAATTATTTTTTCGTGGTATACTAGGAATCACATTTTCTGAAATATAATTTATCCATTCTTAGGTTGACAACAAAGCTATAATTTTTATGCTCTCTCTGCCAGGGCTCCACAGTCTGGTCCCTTTTCCCACGTATTTGGTGCAGGCACAAAGATAGTACCCCAGGGTTTTTCAAGGTCTTATATAAATCATGCTTTCCCGTTTAGCGCAAACCTCTGGGGAAACTGAGCTTTAAAAAGCAAACCCTAAAAATAAGAAGGAATGAAAGAAGGAAGGAAAGCTCCTGAATGTCGTAGCTTGAAAGCAGAACCAACGCAGCAGTCTGCCTGCCTCCTCCTCGGTGTCGCCCCCGGCCCATCGCTCTGGAATTAAAACTTATGTCAGGATTTTCAGTTTCCGCGGGCGGTAGGAACAGCGACAACAAGATGCCGAAGGGGCCACCGCGGAGCTGGGGCTGCTCTGCAAGTGCCAGGCAGGGCTTATGGACATGGCATTCGGAAAACCACCACTTGTGGTGGTGCGTATCCCAGCCTAACTAATGGAAATTAAATAATATCGTGTATGTAACACGTTATCCATCACCCTCCGCAGTTCCTCTGTGCTCTCTATCAAGTTTTGGGTTGAAACTGTTGCAAGCTGTCAGATTTGCTGCTTGGGGAATTGCACGGTCGCGGCCCTTCGCAGCTGAACTGCAAAATTAAAATTTGCTGTTGCTCGAGTCAAACAAGAGCTATTAGCAGCATTTCACATAAAATAGAAAATGTGACAATGGACATCAGATGTCTGTACCGAGAGGTCAAAACGCCTGATGCAGACGAGGGGCACTTTCAACTGATCCCCTCCTTTATACCTGCTCTTATGAGGTTTTAGTGGAAATTCTGCCATGTAGGATGCAGAAGAAATGCAATTGTAGAGCCAAAAGGAGATGTAGCATTTCTGATTATGATCATGTAACGTCACCTTGTATGTCGAAGGATGAGGATACGTCCTAAACCCCTGGGAGGTGTTTGTGTGTTTGGGGTGTATCTTGTTGGTGCTGGAAGTGAAGAACTTGCTCAGTATCTGGCACAAGAAAAGGCAGCGAAAAGTTGGAGACCAGTAATCAAAAGTTGTGGAATTTTAGGGAATATGGGAGGAGGGTAGGAAATCTGGAGGGATAGACCGAATGGCTGAAATTCTTGAAATGGAGAAAAAAAAAGAATAGCTACAGATGTGTAATGTTTAGTATCCGCTGGCTGGTTATTCCTCTGGTAGGTTGGTTAGGAAGAAGCCTTATTTTTCTAGATAAGCGTATTGGCTGCACTGTTCTTTGTGTGTGTTATGGTGATGGCCACAATTATTTTATCTGAGAGCTACTTATGCCCAGTGCTCTGTGGTATCTGGACTCGGCGGTGCTCACAAATGCCCTCAGAAATGCACACGAAAGAGTCTTTCTCCAAATTTTTGCCTTCCTCTATCTGTAGTGTCTTTGCATCTCACTAGAGAAAGTTAATTCAACGTTCCCATTATGCATGAAATAGAATATATTATTCTACCTGATCCCAGAAGAACAACAAATACTTTACTGATGCTATTACAGTCTTCTGAAACAGAGAAACTGATTTCGTTATTGTTGTTACTAGATGCTGCAGTAAGAAACGTTTGCAAGCTTTTTTTGATTATCCTTTGTTACTTAAGGCAAAATATTTGAGACATTTGTTGTTTTGAAGCATTAAATATGTTTTGCAAGGTAATTAAGGAGATTAATGCTAATTTTAATTGGTGTCCATTCAAAAACGTCAAATCTACTTAAGCATATTTTTCATAATAGTTGTTAATTAGTGAACTGCATTGAAGTTTACGCACAGCGAGAAGGAGTTAAATGCTAATGGGCAGAAAAGTCATGCTGCTGCGGACCTGAAGACACGAGCAACCTGCAGCTGGCTAACATGAGTCCAGGAATGAGGCAAATCTGTTACTTCTTCACTGATCTTTTATTTATTTCCCTCCACAGTATTTTAAAAAGCAGAAACGGTTAATCCCGGAAAGGACGGTGTGGAAATATTTTGTGCAGTTATGCAGTGCAGTCGAACACATGCACTCCCGCAGGGTGATGCACAGAGGTAACATTAATTCAGTCTCTTTTCACTGAATAATAATATAATGTTCCAATTAGTAAGCGCCTACATTCACAAACAATTATGCTGATGTTCAGCCAATGCGTGTTTAGAGAGGCTGCAGCCTGCAAGATGGATTTCTCCTTCTGTCTTTTGCATCATTGTTAAAGGATTCAGTTCGAAGTGAGCGGGGTATTAGGAAGATGAGCTGCTTTGTATTCCAGACACTGATATTAAGTAGAAGTGTCAAACTTGCCATTAGTAAAGTGTCAGAAGTAAAATGCTGAGACTACTGGATACAGTGAACTCCAAGAAATAGTCTTCATTATATTAGCTGTGACCTTAGAGAGTTTGCACGCTTTTCTGAAATGTTAATACAACTATGTTCCACACTTTCTCTCATACCCTGTTCTCAGTTTTCATTAATTATTTTTGAATGTCTTGTCTTAGAGCTTTTCATCACTTTGGGTTATATCCAAGAATTATGTTGCTTCTTTCAATATAAATGGAATGCTTTGTGAAGGACTTGACCCAGGAAATGCAAATATCCCAAAGGGCATTAATAGCAATCTCTGCTGCTCATTATTTTCTTTCTCCTCACAAGCAGCAAGTTTTTCACTATTTTTTTCAGGAAAGAGGGAGGGGGCATTTTGCCTTCTGTAAACAGCTTCTCATCTGACTTGTAAGTTTTACACAAATTAAGTCTATGGTTGGTAGCTGGAATTTGGAATCTGGTGGCACCAGGCAAACCCTGGGGTACCTGGGTCCAAGTCATTTTTACACTACGTGAAATGTGCTCTACCAAGCACAAAACCTGTGTAGTGTAGGGCAGTAGTTCGCCGTGGGTGTGAAGGGAACATGGTATCCAGTCCTTGTTCCTGTGCAAAGGGAACGGGAACTTTCCAAAGGGAAACAGACTCGGGTATTCCTTTGATTTCCAGCAGTGGAAGAGGTTGCCTCTGTTCTGTTACACGCTGTTTCCCTGCAACATTTCCCTCGTTGCTCTTTCTGGTATGCTGAGAAGTGAAATCATCTTCTCTGAGGAACTTGGGAGACTTGGCCTATCAAAGGAATGAAGAAACGTGGTTCTGATCGGGGCCCTTTTGTAGGGGAGAGCTCCGGGCTATGTTTCTGTTGCAGCGTTAGCACCAGGTAACCTTTCATGGCTTTGACCTTTTCCCTTTCTCTTCTTGCAGACATAAAACCAGCCAACGTGTTTATAACGGCCACAGGGGTGGTGAAGCTGGGAGATCTTGGATTAGGCCGCTTTTTTAGTTCTAAAACCACTGCAGCACATTCCTTAGGTAAGGAGATCCTCGCAGGCATCGGGCGAGCACCGCGCTACGGCTGTTCACAGTGAGTCGTGTCCCTCCACTCGTTACGATGGAGGTTTGGCTCAGTGGACACGTGCAAAGGTTTCTATGAGGTGTGTTTTAAATAGTATTGCATGCTATGTATTTTAAATAGTACTGAAACACCTGGAGTCGTCATATAAAAGCCGTAGACATGTTTCACTGTAAAACGACACTTGATATGTTTTCAGAAGCCCGGTCTCATCTGGTAAGTAGGTGGTTTACAGCAAATAGAACAAAGTTGTTGTGTGCAGTTCCTCGGGTGTGCGTGCCGCCTTCCCAGGACGAGCCCACTCCGAGGGGCCCGCGCGCCGCGTCCCCTCGGGGCTTCACATGAGCTTCGCGTGGAGACACGAGGTTCCTCAGCGCCCTGCACGTGTCTGCAGGCCCTTTCCTAGTCTGATTTCCATTTATTTCTCTTTTAATGATCTTGTAAGAGAAGGCAGGAGGTCTAGAATCATGCTTAATTATTATGGGAGTGTGTGTGTCTACAAAAAAAAACAACAAAAAGGCACTTCTTCTTTTCATAAAGTACTAAAAATTTATCTTTGCACTAGAAGTTATGCTAGAGTATGTGTACTATACTTAGCAGATTAAATCCTTTTTATAGCAAGTTACAATCACATCATCTGAATGGGCAAGAATATGATCATGTCTAATAATATGATTTTTATCTCGTTTGACTGCTGCACTTATTATATTAATAAGAATAAATTGGGGCTTAGCAACTGGCTGCACACGAAGCCGAGCTCGTGACCCCCATGGAGCGAGTCCCTCGCGGGGAGCGCGCGTGGCCTGCGCGGCCCCGGAGCATCCCGCGGCGCTCCACGGAGCACCGGCCTGCTCGCACCGCGTCCCCTTTCCAAAGAAGAAGAACAATTTTTGTGACTAAACAAGCATACAAACTTGGAGCTGCTGGGGGCAACGGGAGGCTTATTTGCCAGATTTGTAGGTTTTATTGCAGCAGGGAACGTTCTGATCTGAGTTTTGGCCTAATGGAGACGTTGGTTTAGGCACCGCGGACGGTACCGCGCGGGCCGGCTGTGCTCCGGTGCGCGCGGTAGCCCCGTTGCCCTGGCAACCGCCCCGAGCGGTAATTTCGATGGCTGCTGACCCATGCATGGAGCGCCGGGCTTATGCAAATATTTTCATCTAATTTTTTCATTTTTGCTTTGTATTTGCTAACATGAGACTGGCATAAAAGCCCCCGGCGGTGGCGCGACCCGCCTCACAGGTGTAGCGCCGGCCGCGCCAGCGTCAGCGCCGGGGCCGTAATTAGGGCGAGGAACAGAATGAACGTCAAACGCATTACTGGGCAGCAGATCATATTTGTCAGGAAGGATTGCATACATAAAAATTAAGTGACAGTACATGCCGGGGTAATGAAAGAAAAAGGGAAGATTTGCCCCGACGCCGCTCGCGAGGCTCAAGCGGGCGCCTTGCTCGGAGCAACGGCGCGGCCGCCCCTCCCGCGGGAGCCGCGCGGCGCCGCCGGGCCCGGCCCGCTCCTGCCTCCCGCCCTGGGCTGCCCCTGCAGCAAAACCCGCGGGTTAGGGTTGCCCTGGCACAGAAGTTTCATTTTATGGGCAGACAGAGGACGAGAAATTCAGTGCGAGATGAGAAGGATCTTGGTTTTTTTTTCTAATTTTTTTTTTTACAGTGCTTATTTTCTTGGAAAACTTTTACAGCCTGTTCCTTTGGGGATTATACTGTGAGCATTTTATTACATTTACTTTTTTTTTTCTTTTGCATGCATATTTTTTTTTTCCCTAGAAGAGCCATATGGAAC